GCAATTCATTTTTATGTATAAGATAAAGGATGACACCCAGGTTACTTCTAAAAGTACTTCAACTCAATCTAAGGGATTGAGTTGAAGTACTTTTACGTCTAATTAAATTGAGATTTACCCTGAAGGTCGTAAACAATATACAGGAATTACTTAAGTCTGCAGTAAGACAAAATAAAGAACTATTACTAATAGAAACACACAATGGCGTTCCACAAGGCAGCGTCTTCGGCTCTTAATATTTTTGCTCTACGTTAATGACTTGCGACGCCAAATACCACATCCAGTGGTTCTTTTTGCCGACGGTAGTGAATTCCTAGAAAACTTATATTAATAGTACACTTGAGGAATTTGTAAACCAGCTTGATAAAACAAAAACCACAGCAACCAGGTTGATTGCTGAATCTAAACCACCCAGGGCGCCAATTAAACGCATAAAGAAAAAATCATTAAAATCGGTCAAGCCGTTTAGGTTTAAGTGACATACACATGTACAGTACAGTTATATATATAAAGATATTCTATTGTTTTTTGTTATCTGCCTATTAAAGTTATAAAATTGTACATTTATTACAGCAAAAATAATTTATAAAAACATGAAAATTTAGCATGCTATCAGGCAGAATGTCAGAACGGCTTCTTATCGATTGTAATACTTCAATGTATTAATAAAAAAAACAAATCTAATCTTATCTAAGTTTAAGACGGAAACTAAAATGTAAACAAATAGAATAAATCAAAAGAAATCTGAACCTTCTTCCAATAATATGGAAAAGGAAGCTATGGTCAAGGATAATCAAACCGATGATAATAAATCGTCACAGAAAGAAGAGTATAGCAACAAGCAGAAGCGAAGAACTCACCAGTCATATTTTAAATGGTAAAAGATAAAAGCTATACGTTTGGTTGACCGTAAATGTGAAGAAAAATTGGTACAGATGTTGACAATTCTCGGTGTAGAAATGAAAACCTTTGTATTTGTTGGATGAGATGATGCTGGTTTTCTAAATTGGCTTAATAATAATGGGTATCGACTGTCGTGGTGGCCCAGTGGTGGCCATGACTATTTAAACACCACTGTCATACGGTGAAGGGAAATATCGTGAGGAAAGTTGGAATTATAATTTCTTATTATAAGTTTGAAGTTGTTGCCTTGAGCAAGCGTGGTGATTAATGATCAAACCTTCTCTGTGTGATAAGAGGCCTTTGCTCAGCCGTGGACACTTATAGGCTGATGTGGTAAACATTTATCAGGGGAATTCTCAAAGATTTCATCCTAAACTTATATAGTTCAGAATTCTTTATCTAGTAAAACGTAGAGCTAATATCAGCGAAACTTAATTCGAGTATCAAGTTGATGTTAATATTAATGGGTATAATATCTACAGGAAAGATAGCGATGACTGTTATGTTGAAATTACTTCCCTCACCTAGTATCTTTTAATCCCAATTACGATATTGACGTTAAAACAAAGTCAAAATCACAGTCATTTATTCCAACGGACCATAAATAAGCACTTTGGAAAAGTCAAACTGTAAGGATATAGGATACGTGGTGTCACTTTACTGTTCTTTATCTGTAACAACTCAAGTAGTCAGATCGGGGATCATTTATTCTCAATTTTCTAATAAGAGAGACAGACAATTATAGCTGGGACTTCAATAGTCACCATACCAATTGGTCAACCGTATCCGATGTAAGAGGTTCGCAAATCATGACTATATTTAAAGAGATGAAATTATTTTGCAGACCACCTGCACCTGCACAATGATTTCATCTCTTTTGCCAAGAAAATGTTTCTTTTAACATGATTCTTAAAATCTCCGTTTTATCTAATGAGCATATATCCACTTCTAATTTCCTGATCGCGGAATCTTCTTCATTAAAGGTTTCAGCGTCCAAACCGTACGCACATTATCATCATTATCGTCAGCCTATAAGTGCCCACTGCTCAGCAATTAAAGGCCTCTTCACACACGGAGAAGGGTTGAGCATTAATTGCCACGCTTGCTCAAAGCGGATTGACGATTTCAAACTTATAATTGGAAATTATAAGTCCAGGTTTCCTTACGCTGTTTTCCTTTAGCGTATGTCAGTGGTGTCTAAATAATCATAGTACTTCATTCTTTAGTTGAGTAATAGTTCCACGTGCATAAAATATTGAAAATCTGTGACTAAAACGCGTTTTAAGATCGGTAAATGCCAACCACCCGTTCGTTGGGGAATTTAGAATACGTATCTGTTAACATCATCGTAATGCTTTTCTCTCCGGAGTATATTGGATAACTAGTCAAGTGCCCAGAAAATGAATTGGTTTGTCATCTTTGACTCCTTTCTTCTGCCAGTAAGAGAACTTACGCGTGCCGTACAGATGACGACAGAGAGAGCATGACGAGCGCGGTGGCGGGCGTGATCATGGTGCTTCGGATCAACGAGATCAACTACGTGTGCATACACTATCGTTCACTAGCTGTATCTTTAACATCCGGTACCGGCCATAACTGATTTATAAGACCCCTATCGGAGCATCCTCTGACAAGACTTGCTGACTTCAAATGAAGTGCATTTGGTAATTTATGACTAGACACATGACTCGGGGAGCACAGCACTGGCACATACAATGTCGATGCTCTGGGTGCTACATAAAAAATACGACTCGACCTCCTACACAACAAACGTGACTATAATAATTGACCTAAGTGCACATTGCAGGCATTGTTTGACATTAGTTTTGTCCTTTATCTTTTATACCTTACATTTGGTGAATGCACCGCATCTCAGAGCCCAGCCGTCTTCTGCCTCGTGGATACTGTCTGAACACTTTGTTTCTCCAATAGTGATCTTTGAAGTTTCATGACATAGTTTTGTGTCATGCTTACGGTTCACGTTCCAAAGGTTAATTATTTGTTATGATACAACCTGCTTGTTCATCGTTACTGTGCGACTTGTATTAAATTCACTGCTTTACCTGGCATCCATCACTCGCTCAAGATATTGGAATTTAGCCTTCTAGATAATACATCATTAATGACGATAATATGTTACAGTGACTAAGTAGCAATTTATTCTAAAAATACGAGCGCGTGATAACACATACGAATAAGTTTTACAAGAGCGCAGAACAAAACAAACATGACAAAATTAAGTTGTTATTATTTAGCCACGTATTTATTTTATCTATAGTGCTGTTAATAGTATCTGTTTCGTAAGTATTTTTGTTGTGAGAGTTTATCAGTATTGAGGTGTCAATAGCTTATAAGATGCATTTGTTATTAGTTGAGTCTGGTAATTCGTTAATATAGACTAGGAACAATAGTGACCCGAGTATACTACCTTGCGGTACGCCGTGTTCATGTTATCAGAGCGGTAAGATGATATGCGGAGATTGGATACACATTCAGACTCACTAATCTAACCTAACTTTGGGATTCCTCAAGACACGATGGGACTCCTACACATTCAGTCAAACAAATATTAGGAATAATTGATTTATATTTTTATGTTTTTGAAACAAATAAGGTATTAAACTTTTGGTTTTTTTATTGTTGCTAAATGGGTACAATTCTTTCAATTTAGCAAGCTTGGTTTGAGTTTCATTTGTTATTTATATTAAATACAGTGTTGTTTTAGTTATATCATATCTAGCGCGTTTTCGCGAATGCAAATGCGAATTTCGTAATGAACATAAACATGGAATATCTTGTCTTTTTGCATTGCCATTTCATGTTCGGAGGCACTAATAATGTTACAGAACACTTACGGTGAATCGACTTTATCAAAAACGTGTCGTTATGAGTGAAAGCATTCAAAAGCCATAGTGACTCAATTCTCATTCACGTTTGAGCGACTTCGGCGCCAAACTTTATGTATCTCCCGAGTTGATCACAAACATTTTGTGTATCATGTTATAGATCTCTTGTTATTTACTACTACTCTTGACAGTGTAGACGTGCAGTATGCACAGCTTTAGTCGCGTAAATCGTCGCTTTTAATGACATTACTACATAAACATGTACTTATATTTTTTTTCCTCTTCCACTTCTCACGTGGGGCAAGAGGGAGTGTCAGACTCTTACTGACTAGAACCACCCTGTTGCTTCTCGTTTACCAGGCCGAGGCCGCTCAACGTTATTTCACTTGCACCGCCACCCCGACTTGTTGTGTTCCCTATATTGGTGGTTGTCCTGGTAGACTATTGAGTAAGTTATAAAAAATGCTGCGCGCCGCATCAAGAAGCTGGCGCGTAAATTGAAACGATTGTATCACTTCTTTACGTCGTATATATTTACAATATTTACAAGTTTCAAAATATACAGAATTCAAGAGACTTCCTTCCTCAGCGTAGTAGCAGTACTAAAGCTATCAGTATAGCAGGCCGCGCGCCCCCGCCTGGCGCGCCCCCTCCCCGCGCCGCCTCCTGGTCGCGCTGCATCGCCTCAGCTCGGTCTTCTGAAAATGTTCAAACTTTTGTTCACATACGCAGACAAGAAGAACATCCAATGTTTAAGTATTGTTTTACGATTATTCTAAACACGAAACTGCAAGCATGGATGGATTGACGCTCGTTACATTTTCGCGTAGAAACTATTAAACGTATTTTGATGAATATTGACTAACAGATAGACTATAGACTGGAAGTATAGATTTTACATCCGAGTGAAGCAAGCCGCTAATAGAAGCAACAGTACTAACTACATATCAGATCTAATCAATTAACCAAGTACTTATTTGTTCATATGTATAATGCACACTTTAATTTAAGGATCGTCACGTAGTTCAAAAAAAATATGCAAAAAAATCAATTTGATCTATTGAAGGAAATAATATGTACCTAATGAAGTCGTGGTATCAGACAGGTCGAGCTGGCCCACGCCGTGCCATGTGAAAACGAGTGAGTTGCATGGATTAGAAATATTTAGAGTTGCCAGACTAGCGACGAATAACGTGTTGTATTTGATGATATCAAAAACCGTAAAAATATGAAAGGATTTCTAGATTTCAATTAAGCTCGATGTAATGAATACTCCATGCTTTCCGAGACATCTAGGTGTTGATTATTATATAATATCGATCCCTGACCGTCGTGGAGTTGTTGGACGCGCAGCGTGAGCGTGGCGGCGCGGCCGGCGGCGCTGCAGGAGTAGCGCGCGGCGTCGGCGGCGCGCAGCCCGCCCAGCGTCAGCCGCGACCGCACGCGCGCCGCGCGCCGCTCCGTGTCCAGCGCCACGCCGCGCGCGCTCTGTGCCGGGGCAACGCCGTTACTGTGTGCCTGCATGGTACCGGTACTACCAATATTCCCCCACCAATATTGGTCCACAAGATTAAGGGGAATGTACTTTTATATATTTTACAGATACATACCAGTAAAACCAAAGGATATATTACACAGTCAAAGGATTTATTTGCAAATGAATACAGTTACATTAAAGGTCTTACAAGCCAATGGTTCGGTATTCGGTCATACATAAAGAAAACGACGTGCAACTTATAGTTGCTTATAAACTACACATTAATAATTATATTATTTCTCATCATATCATCTGCAAAAAGTATGCAAGGATAATGTGTGATTTCAATTAGGTAATTAATGTATAATCTGAATAAGTAGTATAGGACCTAAAATACTACCCTGGGGAACACCTGTGCAAGTGTAACCTAAATTACATTTGTATAGTATTTCGGCCAATGATTATATCCACGGAAATTATTATTGTAAAGTTGTGATCTGTGCTCCCATCCATCTATTTACACACGAACGTACTAGTTACGCACCTGTAGACTGACGGGCTGATTTCCCTTGAGCCAACGAATGTCGAGTTCTGGCAGCGGCAGCTGGCGCGGCGGCGGGTCGTAGCGCGCCTCGCAGGCCAGCGTCGCCGTCCCCCCCGCGCGCCCCACCACCTCCGCCGCGCCCAGCACCGACACCACCACCTCCGGCACCGGCTCGTCTGCAACACCAAGCAGTCGCTCAACATGACACTACTGCTTTAATCAATTAGTTCTCTCAAGTAAAAGAAAGAATGAGCGATAGTTTAATAATTAGGATCGACGGCCTCGACTCACCTACTACAGTGAGGTTAAAGAAGAGACTCATCTTGGGCTCGGTGTTGACCTGGCACTCGTAGCGGCCCGCGTCGGCGGGGCGCAGGCGCTCGATGCGCAGCGAGTGTCGCGCGCCGGCCGCGGCGGCAGACACGCGCGCGTCCGCCGTGAACACGGTGCCCGCGTGCGACAGGATCTGCAGGTCCCGCGACCGCACCCACGACACCTGCGCAGCGCTACCAGTTACACTAGCTGCTGCCACGATGTCTATGGATAGCTTTACAAAAATGATAGTGAAACCATTATTTCTTAAGTTTCAGTTAAGTGCTTAATTCTTCGGGTGATTACAGAGCACCGCTTCGTTACTTAAATACTTATTAAACACTCGAAGCAGGATTACGAACTTTCTACAACAACTCTTTTGACAATTATCGCAATGACTAAGAAATGTTATATTGAGTAACAAAATGAGTATTAATGTTTTGTCTGTGAACCTGTTTGACGCTTGTCAAAAGAAAAGAAAAATATATAAATATATATGTCATTAACCGAAAGTGCGTGTTTTAATAGGTTATGGGCTAATATCCTGATTTTCTTAAGTAATTCTTGTGTTACGGTTTAAGAAAAACGCTGAACTTTCGTGAATAATGGCTATGAATTATTTACAAAGTGTTCCCAAACTGAAGGGAAGGGAAAATTATGATGAGTGGAGCTTCGCAGCAGAGAACTTGTTAGTGCTGGAAGGTATGATTCAATACATCAAACCAGCTGTGTCCAGCACGGATATCAAGTCTGCAGATGACGAAAGGACTAAGGCAAAGCTAATTTTAACCATCGATTCAGGACTGTATGTTCATATCAAGGAAACAAAAACCTCGTTGGAACTGTGGACAAAATTGAAAAACATGTTCGCCGACTCCGGTTTTTCAAGAAAAATCTCTTTGCTGCGACATCTTATATCAATCAGGCAAGAAAGCTGTGATTCTATGACTCATTATGTCACGCAAGTTGTCGAGACAGCACAAAGATTAAAAGGTACCGGATTCGCTATAACAGATGAATGGATTGGTTCGCTATTATTAGCAGGGTTGCCAGAAAAGTATTCGCCAATGATCATGGCGATAGAACATTCGGGAATACAGATTACTACAGACTCAATAAAATCAAAACTTATTGATTTGGAAGTTTCTTTGAATTTGGAAAACGGTGGCGCTGCATTCGCTGCAAACAAAATGTACTCGAAGACACAGAACAATTCGAAAAAAAGTGGCTGTCAACAACAAGCAACAAAAATGGCTTCAAAACAGCAGTCAAAAAAGGTGGTTTCGTGTTACAAATGTAAAGAAATTGGACATTTTAGAAACCAATGTCCGTTACTGCAGAAAAATAAAAATACGAATGCGTTTAGTGTAGTATTTCTGAATGGAAAGTATAATAAGAGCGAGTGGTACGTAGACTCCGGTGCAAGTGCGCACATGACATCTAATGAAAATTGGATAGAAAACGCAAATCTTACGCCACATTTAACAGAAATTACGGTAGCCGACAGTACAAAGATACCCGTAATTTGCTCCGGGGACGTGAAAATAACTACAGATCGCAACTACAACATTACGGTGAAGAATGTCTTGTGTATTCCGAAATTGTCAACAAATCTATTATCAGTGAGTGAGCTCATCAAAAATGGAAATAAAGTTGTGTTTGAGAGTAACAATTGCTACATTCGTAATATGAAGAATGAATTGGTAGCCACGGCACATTTGACTAATGGTGTTTACAAGTTGAATATAAAAACAGATTGTATGTTAGCTGCACCAGCATTGGTAAGTGCAGAGTTATGGCACAAGCGCTTGGCACATATCAATAGTAGCGATTTGAATAAAATGAGAAATGACATCGTAGAAGGTGTGAACTTTGCTTCTCCAAGTGACTTAAAGAAGGAGAACTGTGTAACATGTTGCGAAGGCAAACAAACAAGGCTGCCATTTGCACATAGTGAACATACCAGCTCGGAGACACTTCAAATAGTCCATGCAGATGTTTGTGGGGCTATGGAGACCAAGTCTATAAATGGTTCACGATATTTTCTGCTCTTTGTGGATGACTACAGCAAGATGACATTCATTTATTTTCTCAAACACAAATATGAAGTTTTTCAGAAATTTAAGGAATTTAAAGCTATGGTAGAGAACCAGCAGAATAAGAAGATTAAAGTATTGCGTACTGACAATGGAGGCGAATTTTGCAATCGTGTAATGGACAACTATTTGGCAAATGAAGGGATAATTCATCAAAAGACTATTGCATATACCCCAGAACAGAATGGTGTTTGTGAAAGAGCCAACAGAACTGTGATTGAAAAGGGACGATGTTTGTTATTTGAAGCAAAACTTGATAAGAAATTTTGGGCAGAAGCTGTGAATACTGCAGTTTACCTGAAAAATAGATCTGTTACATCTAGTTTAGTTAACAAAACACCCTATGAAATGTGGCATCAAAGAAAACCTGACTTAAGTCACATACGTCTATTTGGAAGCCCAGTTATGGTACATGTTCCCAAAGAACAAAGATCGAAATGGGATAAGAAAGCAGAACAGTTCATACTTGTTGGATTCTCTGAAAATGTAAAGGGATATCGTGTCTATGATCCGAAGAGAAATGTTGTCACATTGAAAAGAGATATAATAGTGATGGAAGAAAAACAAGGTATAGAAACTACAGAAGAAACCGCTATATGGCCACAATGTGAAGAAAAGAACTTGAGTCTAAGAGAGGAGACTGAAACAACACAAACCATGCAACAATCTAGCATAGAGAGCAGAGATTCAGTGGGGGATATTAACATAAATGAATCTCTGACTAGTCAAAGTTCTGACACATCAGCTTATATGGACCCAGAGGAGACTTGTGTTGACACATCAACTGATTCTGTTACATCAACAGATATTTCACAAGGTGAGATTCAAGATCTTGGAATTGATGAAATAGTTGAAAGTAAGAGAGAAAGAAGACCTCCAAACCGCTATGGTTATACAAACTTGTGTACTTCAAGTAACTTGCCTGGAACCGCGGAGATTGACTTTTCAGAAGCGCTGAATGGACCTGAAGCTGAAAACTGGAAGCTGGCCATGCGTGAAGAGTTGCAGTCATTCGAGTACAACGATGCATGGGAGCTCGTTGATATACCAAGTGACACTAACATAGTGCAATGCAAGTGGGTTTTCAATAAGAAATTAGATGTTAATGATAAAGTAAGATATAGGGCTAGACTCGTAGCTAAAGGTTTCTCACAACAACGTGGCATTGATTATGTAGACACATTTGCTCCTGTAGTGAAACATTCAACCCTTAGAATGTTATTTGCTCTAAGTGTACAGTGGGATATGGATATTTCACATTTAGATGTGACCACGGCATTTCTTAATGGTCACTTAAATGAAAATATTTTTATGTATCTTCCTGTGGGTTTTGAATGCAAAGAGAAAGGGAAAGTTTTAAAACTTAAGAAAGCTATATATGGTTTGAAACAATCTTCTTTAATGTGGTATAAGAGAGTCAAAGATTGTTTATGTGAGTTGGGTTTTAAAATGAGTTCTAATGAACCATGTTTATTTACAAAATTTAGTGACAACATAAAAATGATTGTAGCTGTTTATGTTGATGACTTTCTGATATTTTCGACCTGTAAAAAAGCTACTGATAATTTGAAGGCTACATTAAGCTCAAAGTTTAGAATAAAAGATCTAGGCTGTGTAAAACGCTATTTAGGCATGAGAGTGAATGTAGACAGAAAGTCAAGTACTGTAACAATAGACCAAGAACAGTATATTGAACAGTTGTTGCTTAAATTTGGAATGTTTAATTGTAAACCCATGGATACTCCGATAGAAAGTAAAATGAATCTTGAAAAGGCTGAAAAATGTATAACAGAGATTCCTTATCAAAGACTTATAGGTAGTCTTATGTATTTAGCTGTCTTGACTCGACCTGACATAGCATATACTGTAAGTTATCTAAGTCAATTTAATAATTGCTATAATGAAACTCACTACAGTCAAGCTAAAAGAGTGTTGAAGTATTTACAGAAAACTAAACATTATTGTTTGAAATATTGTAAAGATAATAATGTAGATTTGAAAGGTTTTGTCGATGCTGATTGGGCGAGTGATGTTTTGGACAGGAAATCATACACTGGTTTCTGCTTTGTTATGGCCGGTTCTGTTATATCTTGGCAGAGCAGAAAACAGAAAACGGTCTCTTTATCGAGTACCGAAGCTGAGTATGTCGCATTATCTGAGGCGGCAAGAGAAGCTATTTATTTAAGAAATTTGTGGTATGAATTGACAGGCAAGTTGAACATTGTGAAGTTACATTGCGACAGTCAAAGTGCAATGAAACTAGCTAAAAATCATCAGTCTCTTAATAGGACTAAGCACATTGATGTGCGTTATCATTATGTTAAAGATGCCATAAAATCTAATTTAATTGATGTTCAATATGTGTCAACTCAAGAGATGCCAGCTGATATTCTGACGAAAGGTTTACTGTCAACAAAGCATTATAAATTTTTAGAATTGATAGGTCTGGTTCCTAATTAATGTTTCAGTTTGTTAATTGTTATTTTAGGAACATTTTGTTAAGTAGGGGTGTTATATTGAGTAACAAAATGAGTATTAATGTTTTGTCTGTGAACCTGTTTGACGCTTGTCAAAAGAAAAGAAAAATATATAAATATATATGTCATTAACCGAAAGTGCGTGTATTAATAAGAAAAAGTAGCTGATTGTCAATATTTTGGGTGGAAGAGCACCACAAGTAATATTATAAATAATACACATATTTTATTAATGCGACAGCGTGTCACTCGCTCCGAATTTAATAATAACGCAAAGATACGTGGAGTATCGTAAACGATTTTATTTGTGCTCTAGAAATATCATCGGGATGAATTGACGCCGCATTCGATGATTCCATGATGTGCGAGGCGTGGGCTGGTGCGGGCGATGGGCGCGGGAATCTCGCGCGACGTCACCGCGCGGCTATAACTGTCCGCCTGACAGTGATCGCGAGCGATTTCAAAAATGCCGGTCATCGACTCGCCCCCCGCGGCACGTGGCACGCGCCACCGAGCGCTGCGCACGCGCCGCCCGCCTACTACTGCGCTCCCGGAAGTTAGCGTTGCCAACTCCGCGCACTATCATAAACTTTAATCCATACTTTACAAAATTCTTACGACGTTTTAATGGAACTACTTCGGTATACCACTACCCACGCGGACAGGCAAGGAGAGTTGGACGATCTACGACAGGAAGCGGCAAAAACAGGCGCTAACTAGATGCACCGCTAATCGCTAAAGAAAAGAAGAAACCAGGGAGGTGAAACCGGCGTGAAGATTCACCTTTACTGGTTGCCATAGAAGCAGAGACAGAGGCATTGAACATGTCCACTAATTTACGTTGGGAGCCTTGTGTCGGGTATCGGCAACTATTGGTCCGGGGAAGGAGGAAAGAGGGGGTGGGGCGTCGAAATCCTCAAATATCACCAAACTTTAAGCTGCTTGGCCATACCTGAGACCAACCAAGTAATTACGAAAATTGACCGAAGGAAAGGTTTTATGGAATAGGTGGCAAACGAGCAGACGGATCACCTGATGGTAAGCGGTCGGCGCCGCCCATGGACATACGCAACACCAAAGGGGTACGAATGGGGACTTTAACCATTAAGGTTACACAAGCGACGGAATTTTACAAAAGGAAGTAACTTCTCCCGTTTTCCTAACATTTCCCTTCACTGCTCTGCTCCTATTATTTTTAGCGTGATGAAAAGTATCCTATAGCCCAGGAGTATAAAAAATAATTGTACCAAATTTTGTTAAAATTCGTCGTGTAGTATTTGTTTCTATAAGGAGCATACAGACAGACAGACAGACAGATAGACAAAAATTTTACTGATTGCATTTTTGGCATCAGTATCGGTCACTTATCACTCCCTGGTAGTTATTTTGAAAATACATTTAAAGTACAGAATTGACCTCTCTACAGATTTATAATAAGTATAGAGAAGTATAGATAAAAAAAAATCTGAGCCGGCAATGTCACAATGCGGCTAATTGCTTCTATTTTGGCGCCACTTATGAGCAAGCTTTAACTACCTAAGGTTAAAGAACAATTACGTCATTGGATAAACTATTCAAATTTTTTGAAGTACCTAACGTTTACTATTATAATAAAGGTAGTACTTACATAAAAGTGATTAAAAACAACAAGTAAATATTTTTTGAATATTGGCACAAATGAACTGACCGACTTGTCACGCAGGCGCAGCACGCGGCAGTCGAGCGTGGCGGCGTGCCCCGCGGGGGCCACCACCGCCGTCTGCTGCTGCGGGGCGAAGGCCGGGCCCTCGCCCTCCAGCGCCACCACCTCGCCCTCTGCACACCACCCGCCCTGTCCTGCGAACCACACATCCGTGTCTTAATCTCTACCTCTTCTTTGTTGGGTTATGTTGTCTACCAGGATCCGTAATACTTTCACCATGTCCCTCCGCCCGACAGTAGTTTCATTTTATTGGGATTAATACTAGCAAATTTGGTGGGATTGACTTGTTTCTGCCGTGCAGTCTACCGATAGTATCCGACATCATCCGTGGCCTGGCGCCACGCAGCAGTCCGCACGACATTCGATTTAGTATATTCGGAGTTGTTTCCAAGAAGCGCATAGTTTACATTGTTCCCGACTCGAGTGAGGGCAGTGAATCAGTCGTGCCATCTGGTGGGCAGTGCGGCCGCGCCCCGAGCCGGAGTACGGAGCATGACGTCACGCCTCATTCACGGGGAGCGGATGTATGTGTAGGTAGCTGCTTATACTGCACGACGGTTGTACCTACATGCGAAATGCAGGCAAAGTATTTTTATTACAGATGCCACGAATATCCGACGCTGAAGCTTCAGTAAACAATGTATGAGTAGCTACTACGTCACGCGTGCCAGGAAGTCGCTACATACAGTTACATACTAGACATGCAATCTCTAGTCGTTGTGGGTAAGAAGTGATTGTCACACTTTCACTGTATTCCAACATTTATTTGAAAGGCAATCAACAGATTACAAGGAGTTTCAAAAAATTTTTCTATTATTATAAATCTGTTCCTACAGAGACAAGGTTGTGTCACAGCTGCGTGAGTGAGGCGGCGGGCGGATGCGGGCGCCGGGTACTGTGGGTACTGACACTACCTACACGATGACACACAATACAAAGCACATCCGATACATCGGAGGGCTGCCGGCGGGCGGTTGCGCTGCGCAAGCGGGCGCAGGTGACGCGGTAATTTACAAAAAAATATTTATAAATAATTGGAAATTAAATATCTGTAAGTATACTTCATATTAGTTTCCAAGCATACACTTGCATTTGTATCAAAATATTAGAATTGGACATGAACAAATAAAATTAAAACGCCCCACTCACTGTTTCTTTGGTTTAAACACGTTAACATACTGCTTAGTAGGTACATTAATGTTAACTCGAAAATAAATAAATAAATCCAATGACGTAATTGTTATTTACAACTAACCTTAGATAGGTAGTTAAAGCTTGCTCATAAGTGGCGCCAAAATAGAAGCAATTAGCCGCATTGTGACATTGCCGGCTCAGATAGTGGAGCAACCGACCGAAATAACGCCGCGACCGCGGCTCCTTCACAACTACTACGACTGACCCGCGCCGCGCAGCCCGTGGAATGGTCAGTATCTTGCAAACACATTTTTAAAGATTTTTGAAGTGGCTAAATTAATAAACTGCTGCAAACGTCTGTTTCATAGCAGCAACAATACACTAAACGCCGGGTCACTCGCCTGCCCTTCAAAATGCAAGTACTTTACAGGAAAAGTTGTTCTTATATAGCGCGGCTTATACATAATAACTGATTGGGCTGTCGGTTCAAAGGGATTACCGATTTACCTTATAAATCATTTTGTTATATACCTTAAGAAAATTGTTAATACAAACAAGTTTTTTTTGCTGGCACAGTTGAAACATACTTTTAAATACGAACCCAATGCATTATTGGTACAGAAAGTACAATATACCACACAATCAATTTTAATTTTTTAAAAAGGCGACTTGCTTCTTCATGGAAAAGTTGCTTCATTAATGAATCAAACGAAACAAGTGTATCGCGCACTGCTGCAGCCAGCTGTCACATACTGCTGCAGCCAGCTACTTATGGAAAAGCAATAAAGATATTGAGTATTGTCGCCATACTCATTGGTTGCTCGTGGGTCGTGAGTCCGTGCGTAACCCACTTTGTAGACACGTTGCACTGCATATTATCTACGTTACAATACTCACACTAGTATACTACCAGCCATTGTTATAACTTTAAATCGGCCAAGAAAATATTGGTTCATGAAATAATAACTTTGTTTCTTCCAGAAATACAAAGACAACGCGGATAAGATGAAAGGAACGCTAAAATGTTTACACCGACGCACTGCGGCGCCAGCGCCAGCGGCACACTTTGGAACTAATGCTGTACCGGCTTCTCGACTCGTGTGATGAAACTCGCCGTCAGCGGCGCACACTAGGAACACAACTAGAGATACAAGTGACTCAGTGGGTGCGGTACCTATATCAGCCTATAATGATGTAGGTGCTGTGATAGTGTGATAACAAGCAAGAAAGCTTGAACCTAAGTATCTACTACAGGCCGCGGCGGTAGGTCAAACACACTGGTTTACTGCTCTCTGACTTGAACCTGGAGTTAGATTAGATTGGGGTGGGTTTTGTACAGGTCACTCTCTCGCCTGGGTGGGCTAAGCAGGGAGGAGACAATTAATTATTCCCCCTTAAACATCCACGCTAAAATACGCGGCAAGGTCTGAAGTTGGAGTCTCTTGCCTCTTGTGGTGCAAACTCTCAGAACTGTGCTCTACGATCTGTGCATATGCATGTTTTTTATCATATTTTTCGACGGTTTGAGGTCGAGGAGCGACTCATACGATATCGTTAGAGCCGCTCCTCGACGGTGCTTACGCCTAGGATTGGTGCAATACTTCCACCGCCAAACCGATACGGGTGACACTTAATAGATGGTGTGGATAACTGAACCTTCTATATATATGTATATACACCTAACACTTGATATTGCATCCCTCAAGTGGGCGCCCCAATATTTTCGGCCGAGGTGTCAGTGGCACTGAGTAGCGGACGCATGTAGTGACGGCGGCCGTACCTGTGAGCGCCGGCAGCGCCGCCAGCAGCATCAGCGTGGTCGCTGCACACATCCCGGACCTGCACACACACACACAAACAATTCTATTCAAATCGTTCATCTTTCTAATGCAGGCGCTATAGCTCTCGGACACACCGGAACCGAATAAGTTCATTTATTAGATGAATAATGAATAAATCAGCTAAGTATAATGAACCTTAAGTGCCGGTGTATGGAGAATGAGCTCTAGCGCGATCTTATGGCAGAGTGGAAGCAAACGTCTATCGCAACCAAATACCCCTCTTTGAGGAGTAACTAAAAAGACGCCATGGCTCCTACCTTCCGCCTGACACAGGTGCTTACCGAACACGGAAACTTCGGTAGGTACCTGTTTCGGTTCCGGCGGAAATAAACGTCCTGAAGTCCTAACCACCTGAAAGACAGTGGAGCATAAAGTGGCGGTGCGCCATGCTTGAGCTGAGCATCGTTGAGTCCTCAGGGAAGTGATCGGCGGCGGCGACCTCTCACGTCTGTAGGAGACACTCCCATCACTGGACGATCTCTATCCACCGTAAGCAATGGAAGCTCGCAGCCCGAACAGAACAAGATGTAAAAGATTAATAAATTGCAATTACGGTAATTGTACTTACTTAAAGCTTATTTTTTACGCGTGATTAAAGTAACTAACTGTGTAAGTAGGTATCGCACCCGTGGAACGATAATTGACTAAATCCAAAATACGTCAAACTCGCCACATTTTATACATATTTCTATCTAAGTAACATTTTAACACTATTAAACTATTTTATTAAATATAGATGAAAACATTATAATTTCGTCGATCAAGAAATCAAAAAGTATAGCATATTGTAAATATATATGTAAATTGTATGTATAATGTATATTTGCTTTCATACATTTTAACCATGAAGACATCGGTTTTTTTTTAATTCATGTTTATAAGCTATGAATATAAATGTGGATGGATCGAGAGGGAGAGGGAGACCAAAGAAAATATGGATGGATTGTGTGAGAAGTGATATGGACGACAGAGAAGTTAGCGATAGCGTGACGGGTGACAGGACAGCATGGAAGAAAAAAACATATTGCGCCGACCCCAAATAAAACGGGACAAGGACAGGAAGATCATGATGCTCCGAACTGCTGACAGTGCCGGCGTTAGGGGCGATGGCCCAGGGCAACAAATTCTGGGGGGCGCCAAGGTCTGGAGTTGGAGTCTCTTGCCTCTCCTAGTGCAAACACCCTCAGAACTGTGCTCTGAGCTCTGTGCATATGCATATTTTTTATTAGGGTTTTTTTTGGGATCAGATCTAAAATTTTACATTTGATATTGTTTCCCCTCAAGTGGGCGCCACAATATTTTCGCTCGGGGTGTCAGTGGCCCTTACGCCGGCACTGAATGGTGTTATAATGAAGCCAAGCGACCACTTGAGGTAACTGAGACGCATCGCAGAGAGCCGCCGCGCGGGCGCACCACTCGGTGCCCGATAACGCGATGTTTACGACCGCACTCGATACACCACGCACAAGGTAATAATATCTACAAGTATTTCAACTTCATAGAAACGGCCGAAACGCGAACTATACCTACGCGTCCGATGTCGGGACGCGCTCGGGACGCAGACAGACGCGGCTGTACCGCAGTGACGAACGGACGGTGTGTTGTCTTTTATTTAGAAATCAGCTCGAGTACATTATTTAATATGACGAATAGGAAATATTGTGCTGTTATTATGTTTGGTTGCATGAATTCGTCAATAACGCATCCAGACATAAGTTTTTTTTTAAATTACCTGGAAACTCTGAAAGGTGAGACTATAAAATAATTTTACTTACTAGCAGCCTAGGTAGGTACATAATGTGTGTCTTTATAGATCATTATTTCCAGTTATCTCACGAAAACAGATGTTTGAATTTATAAATAATATGAATAAAGTTATTGAGACGAGTGAAATAGGTAGTTATAGGCGGTTCTGGTTCTGAATGAATATAAATACGTTAGGTACCTACCTACTTACGCTTGTGTTAAAACGGTTCATGTATGTTTTGTTAGTTTGTATAATTCAAAGTAGAGAGTGTGGTATTTTATTATTAATAATATTTGTTTTTTATCTGCGTTTATGAATAATACTAGAAAATATTTAATAACAACAATAAAACAGCTAGACTCATGTAATATTTTGATGTTTGAGGGTTGTGATTTTAGAACATTCGTAGTCAGCTGTTCAGTTCGGCATTAGTGGCCAAAGAAATTTTGTTTGTTTATTTTTAAAGCACTTTATTTGTTTATATAAAAAAAAGGATATTTACAATAACAAAACTAAATGGAAACAGAAAGTAGACAAAGGTAATGAAAATACTGGAGACGAGCAGCCCTAACGCATGTTTACGTACCGCGCGGCTGTAGGTATTTATTTCTTTCAAGCGGCCGAGTTACAATACTGTATGATATTTATACTGTGCCACGCATGGCCGGCATGGGAAGCTTGCGGCCCATGTCTGTTGGCGGCCCTAAATCACGCATCTGCGTGTCACCACTAGTATGCGGGTACAGTTTAGGTACTTATTTCTGGACCGACTTCATTATTGTACCACATAAATATAATAACAACCAAATGATCAATCAAACTAACTTTTAAAGTTTTGCTTTTTGTTAACAATATATAATTAAGCGGTATCAACGCGAAAAGTAATTATTTAAGTATCTTCGAAGGCTTGACGTTTCGACTTTATTGCACAGGTCGTGATCGCAAGCAGACTGAGGATGCGATATCACAGTTCCCTGCATTCGGGCGATGAATGTTCATCTACCTCCTATTTTCATTTTCTACCATATTAGGCCCTCTACGCACTATGCTGACCAGGTTGAAACCACAGATTAACAAAGGCAGATAGAGCCTGCAGAACATGAAAGTGAAACCACCAAAGCAAATACAAATTCAAAAGCGAATACAAACTCGAGTCAGTACGTAACGAAGCGTCACATCATAGAAAATATTAATATTTTTGAAAATAACGCCGTCTTGTGGTCTCAAATATTGTAAAAATTTTTCCCAAAAATAAAAATGAAGAGGAAAGAGTATATTTTCATTGATAAATATTGATTATTTGTCCATTTGTATATAATTTTAAAATAATTATTTTTAGTGAGTTCATGGATCACAAAACCTTAACAAACAGCGGTCGGTGTTGCTTGTATGTACTTTTTGACCAATAATTTGACCGGAGACTATAAGTCGTAACTAAATCATGTTAAGTATGTCATAGTTCGAAGGCTACAAACGATCGAATCGATAGCTTGCTTTACAACAACAAGAAATTAGTGCAAAATAACGGCTGCTAATTACACTTTAACTAATAAACATTATTCACAAAAATTTAATCATTTCCATTTTAATTGCAAAACGATGTCTGAAATTGATTTTTATTTACATACTAGCTTCCGCCAGCGGCTTTGCCCGCGTGCTGTGTTGAAAAAGCAGTAGAACAAAATCTAAGTATACATTAAATTTGGTATTAATCGTCTCATTTTTATGGGTAAATATCCTATTACTTACTAAGTCTCCGCTATCCGTCCGTCCATAGATAGAATGGTACGGATGTAATTAATAGGTAAGTATTACAAATATTTCATAAATCCTATTAGGTATATTATTAAGTATTTTATTTTATACCGCGTCGCATCGAGCGCGTCAACCGTTATACAAAAATAATCCTTATAGCATGATTCAGTGTTCACATGCGACGGCGCGATGGCTTATTACCCGAACTGCTTTTTTTTTTGTGAGGGGAAAATCATTTATTTATTTTATTTATTTATTTTATTTATTTAGTACAAAAAATCTTCCTACACTCTCATTACAGGTTATGTTCCCAATACGACAGTGAGGCTTAACCTAGTATAAAATGAACTCAAAGTACTAAAAAGAAATTATACAAAAAGAAAACAAAAATAATAAAAGTAACAACAATAACAGCAATAACAAAGAGAGACTTTCGATATATATACATCTTAACCTATGTTTTATAACACTACTAAATTACCTTACATAATAACTACAACTAACTTAAGATTAAATGTAAAAAAAAAAAAAAAAATACAACATGAGGAACTATTCACTATCGTAACTTAAAATAAATAATAATGCTCTTGCGAATTCACTCGAAGGAGTTGTAAATATATCAATCCGATTGTGGAGCTTATTAATGATATGGATTGCGCGAGTCAGTGGTGCTTTAGCGAGAAGGTTGGTCCTCGCCGTTGGCACTGCCAATATTGGCGGGCGCCGCCGTCTCCACACGTAGCGGTCTGGTACAGATATATTCAGGTGACGCAGTACTCCCGGGTTATGCTCCAGACCGCGGAGCAACTTCACCAAGTAGGCAACTAAGGCAAATTTTCGTCGTACACCGAGTTGATTGTATCCCACCATGCCTAGCACAAACAGAGTGGGATACATCAGCGGGTAGTACGGATACACCCCATACAGTTTCCAGTACAAATGTCTCGTGAACTTATTCTGCACACGTTCCAACATTACATTGTACTTTGCCTCATATGGATCCCATATGACAGCACTATGTTCGAGATGACTCCTGACTAATGCGTCATACAGGACCCTAACTGTTGCAATGTTGGTGAAGCTCCTCGTCTGCCTCATAACAAAGCCAAGGTTTCTAAATGCCCTTTTGCAGATCTTTATAATATGGTCGCGAAATGATATTTCCTTCGTTACCATAACCCCCAAATCCCGCACTTCCGTGACACGTTGCATAGGCACCGCGTCCAGCACGTATTTATACATCAAGGGCACTCGAGCACGCGTCATACTCATCACCGAGCATTTTGCTACGTTGAAGTATAGCCTGTTTTTTTTACTCCATTCCAGTACTCGGTCTATGTCCTCCTGTAATCGCTCACAGTCTGATTCACTTTGAATTTTTAACAGTAACTTGAGATCATCAAATGACTTCTCCCGCCCAGGGCCGGGCGGGAGGGAGTGTCAGACTCTTACTTACTAAAAACCCCCCTGTTCCTTCTCCTACTCTGGGCCGAGGT